AAATTGGAAATTGTCCAGAGCAAAATATCGCAGTTGCCTCCTATTGTTGAAAACCCTGCATGAAAGTGATTGCTAGTAAAACAACTTGCTATGCCATCCAAAAATATGGTGAGCCTAGTCATAAAAAATGCCATGCAATAAGTTTATAAACAATCTACGATTTATTGCTATAAATACATGGTGTGTTATTCTAATTAAGTCTAAGACACACATGATAGTGTTTATTTAGTAAACCATGTAACTTGTAAGCGGAACAGTCAAACTATCACTTTCATTTTCATGTACACCTATCAGCAAAATACTAATAAGAAAAAAGATGAGTGTCCTATTGATGATCCTATCAGTTGTACTAGTAGTATCTACATTGACTGGATCTACTAACAATTACTACAATGGTAAGATACTGACTACTATACTAATGGATAATATACCTGTTTGAATTATATATACTATCAACAACAAGAACCTACTGGTAATAAAGGATCATTCACTGATTGCTGTAAGTTCAGTAATACACTATTGATTTATTTTATTATTTTTAAGCTGTTACTAAGAAATTTCTGGAACTCACTAATGCATCATTAACTCCAGCTCCACTAAAACGTGGTCAAAAGGGCTACTGGCAAGCAGTACTAAAGATCAGTGAGTTGACAACAATTATAAATAAACATGAATCCATTTATAGAGAGAACCATACATTGGGGTATAGTGCATATCAAATTGACACATAACTTCAAGAATTATACTAATATTACTTTTGTTGATGTCAAATATAATTTATGTGACTACATTATTGATATATTAAATGAAGACTGTCCACTACCTCCTGGAATGTATCCTTTCAATGCCAGTACTAGACTACCACACACTTTTTGGCCAGTGAGTAACAGATACAGTGTATCATTATTACTATTCTATTTCATAGGGTCAGTATTATGGTGAAGTAACTGCTTATAACAATAAAGAAGAGCAAATGATGTGTGAAATGGATGATTTCTTTGTTGATTAACCAAAGTACATGTACATTGCATGCACAAATAGATAAAAAAAGCAAAACCTTTTCCTCTAATTTATTTACAATACTATTCTGTGATCTGTCAAAATAAAATACTTGAACAAATGATAGAGGCAAGGAGCATGCTAAATGAGCTAAAAAGCACTGAGGATCCTCTTCAGTCAGTTTTGATGAAAGGCTGTTATTAAGATTTTTGGCCTAATTTTGAGCAACTTTGGAAATTTGTAAAAATCCAAATTTTATTGGAACCAGCTCAAAATTTCTACACAGCATAAATACATGCATATGCATAAGAAAAAGTTATTAAAATGAAGAATTCTTGCCCAGTCAATTTTGGCAAAATTTTTAGCAAATTTGAAAAAACTCAACTTTGTTTGGAATCACCCCAAAATATCTAAAAAAAACATAAAATAGAAAATTTTTTCATAGTCATTTCTGACAAAGTACCCTTTACTTATGAGCAAATTTGCTAATATCATGTGGATAGAGGATAATCTTGAAGAATGACATATAAAATCATTTGAGAGTCTATTATTAGTCATTACTGTACTGTGTAATTTAATACTAGTAGTACTGTATAATAATTTAAGATACATTCAAAGCATGTAGTAATGTTAATTGATGCATAACAGAATTCATTGATAGTTGCATTAAGTATAGACAATAAGCAATAGACACATGATCACTTATAACTGTTATTTTAACTAAAAGACAGCAGAAGGTGAAGCATGTGCAAAACATTACACACTAACACTAGACAATATAACTGGAGCTGAACAATATCATGCACTATTACTTTGATACACATCACCAACAGGTCAAGTTTCACTAATAAGAAAGAAGATGAGTGTCCTATTGATGATCCTTTCAGTTGTACTAGTGGTATCTACATTGACTGGATCTACTAACAATTACTACAATGGTAAGATACTGACTACTATACTAATGGATAATATACCTGTTTGAATCATATATACTATCAACAACAAGAACCTACTAATAATAAAGGATCATTCACTGATTGTTGTAAGTTCAGTAATACACTATTGATCTAGAATGGAAAGTATATCTTTATTAAAGCTCTCACTCATAAATTTCTTGAAGTCTATAACATTACAATAACTCCCTCTTATACATTACAACGTGGGAAACCATTTACTTTCAAAGGACAATTGAAGATAAGTAAGTGGCCATAAATGCAATGTCTGATACAAAAAATGTTCTTTCACATTCAGACAAAAACTTTAAACATATTATTGTACATATTTTTAGAGAAAAAAATTGAATGGGCAGTAATTCGGATACAAACTATATTTAACAGCAATAAAAATCACATTAACATCACAATCGTTGACATGAAATTAAACTTCTGTGACTACTGTGTTGAAATAATACACCACTACTGTCCATTGCAGCCTGGAGTGTACCAGATTAATCATACTGATATTGTACCAAGGCTATTCTGGCAGGTCTGTTATTTTTGAGGAGAAAAATTATTGCGAATCTTGCATTTATAAAATTCTGCAGAATAAATTTTTGTGGATAGCTTGCAAACTGCTACGCGGCAATGGAGATGCAGAAATTTGTGATTTAAAATTTTTGCAATATAATAAAAAATGCAAAATTTGCAAAAATATTTTAGTACAAAATAAACCTGTATATGGTACTAAAAGAGCATTTTTTAAGTTTGCCAATTTCTGTATTGATTATAGGGTCAGTATTATTTCAAAGCTACAGTGTACAATGACAAAGGAAACCAAATGTACTGTGGAGAAGACAAATTTGAAATTAATTAATTTTAAAAGTGACAATTATAGTGCGGGAAATTAATTATTAAGTTCTGTTAAATTTAATAATAGCAAGTCATACATACAGATATAATAGCCACATCAATTTATATTGACTAACACAAAGGAGATTTCAGTAAGATTAGAAGATTATGATAATGGGAATATAATTATGGCAATAGCAGACCTGGGAAATGGGAAAACACATTATTTATGGTGATAAGTACCTGTAACCCTCTATTTTATATTTCCCTTTATCCTTAATTGTACTTCTTAGAATTGGGATGAACAATCCTTTGTGACTTGAGTAAGTCCACTATTAGCGGAGCCAGACTAGTCCACTATTTGTCCAGGGTGCCCTACCTTCGGTCACTGAAGGCTCCAAAATTTTTCTAAATTAGTATATTACAGAAGTTTAAAGATCATACAGCAGTTTAGTAGTTTACCTTAAAGCATAGAGCAAAGGAGAAAGACAAAACCTAGACAATCCATGCCACGATGTTGCACGTGGGCTGCTAAACCAAGCCCACTTGCTTACTTAGGCGTGGCTCATTTCAATGAATCTCATTAATACTGACACCTTGCAATGAAGCTGCAGCTACCTCTATATCTCCTTTTCTCTCTCCTTTTCCAGCTCGGGCTGAGCGAGCCTGTCGAAAACTTTGAAGTAAAAGTAGACAATGAAGGTGGATTCCAGCTCTACCTGTCCGGGAAGCTCTGGTTCAATAATGCTGATGCTTGGTTCAGAGCAAATAACAAATGGTACTCTACAGCAGACAAGACACTCACTTTAGTTAATACAAGCAACTCAACCGGTAGACTGGACTGGGGACCAATGAACATATACTTTTACACCTGGAAGACGAGTGATGGAGGAATGCAGTTCACAACATACACTGTGGTCTTTACTGAAGTGCCTGCTGTCATCTTTGGTCAGCAATGGGATGATGGAGGCAACTCCACAAGCACCGGTAATAATGATGATGTTATCTCAAGATGGCCGGCTTTCAAAGTTGAGGACTTAGGACTGACCCGTGGGTATGCATCATGGGGCGGGGGACAGATAGGAAGTACCCCAATTGGAGTATTTGATTCGTCGCTGAAGGAGATTTATAAAGGAATGGATGGTGGACTACCTCTTGTAGTGTTTGATTCTGATATGGAGAACACAGTCGTAATATCACCACAGAATACATTCATGTCTTCACATCACGAGGTATGGAAACCAGATGGATACCAAGTCCCTGTATTTGCTACTGGTATATTAGGATCAGTTGATACTGTCCCTAAAGGATACGCAATGGAGACACTAATGGTTGCTGGTCAGAATCTCACCGACACT